CCTCCCACTCTAAACTGCTGCTGTATGTGAGGTTTGATAAGTGGGTTTAATGGAGGCAGGAGGGTCTGTGCTGGGGGAAGGGTCTTGAAAGGTAGTGGTCTATACTGAGAGGGTGGCCTGAGGGGGGAATCTGTGCTGGGCTTGGAAGGGGGTGAAGGGACTTGGAAGGGAGGGGTCTCTACTGGGTAGGCAGTCGTGTACCGGAGGGGCTGCAAGAGAGGGGGTTGGGCTAGAGGGGACTGTACTGGGGGGGGTGACTGTTCTGTACTGGAGAGGGGGTAATTTTTGGTTGTGCTCTATACAATGGTCTGTATAATACCCACTCCTGAGCCCTGCGCTCTCTGTGTTACTCCCTCCTGCCCCACTGACCCCTGCACTCTGTGCAATACATACTCCTGACCCCAGAACTCTATGAGATACCTACTCCTGAACCCTGCACTACACACTCCAAGCCTCTGTATTCTGTGCAATATTCGCGCCCAGCCCCTGCGCTCTCTGCAACATTCACTCCTGAACCATTGTTCAGGAGTGAATGTTGACAGCTTTTGACAGCTTTTTGTCTGTCTAATCCTTGTAGTAAAGCCAAGGAAACTGACCCCAAAGTAGTATGTAACATACCTGCACTATATAAAAATGCTGCGTTCATAAACTACTTAGTTGCAAAACAAATAAACAGTACAAAACACGCAGGCTGCAACAAACAAATACAATAGAGGGCAGGTATACCATTGGCAGATAAATGGCTCTAAACAACTATAACAGCTCCGCCTCTTCTGGGGAGACGTCCACAAGGTTTAGGAGTGTGTCTATGGGAATGTTGGACCATTTGTGGGGTCAGGTATTGATGTTGGGGGATGGGCTCGCAGTCTCCGCTCTAATTCATCCCAAAGGTGTTCTATGGGGTTGAATGGTGTGGAGGGCCACTGCAAACTATAAAATCTTACCTTACAGCTTGCCGCCTCCTACACATAACCCTTCTGGGCACCGCCGCAGGGATTGCGGGGTGTGACCTGAGCAGTGAAGTGCTCCAGTCGCAGCCCCGTCCCTTCTCGCTACTCACTTAGTAACAAAATGCCTGGCATTATTCTACAAGGCATGCTGTGATTGGAGGAAGAGACATGATGTCATATCTCAGTCCCCTCTTCTCCTTCAATCACAGATCTCAGTCCCCTCCTCTCCTCCTCCAATCACAGAACATGTTTCAGGGGCTCATATAAAAACTGCAATGCCTTAAAATTGGACGCCATTTTGTTTAGTGTATGAGAATGGATAGAGCTCTTTGGCAGCTTTCTCAATCCATTGGCAATTGTACTGTCCCCTCAACCTGTTGTGGAAATTTTATTAGGATGTGTTTTTAGTGTATTGTAATGTTTTGTCATTAGTCTCTCAGTGTCTCGGTGTAAATAGACGCTGGGGGGATTAATCCATTGGAGGAGATTTCTTATGCGCAGCGGAGCAGTGTCTTCTTGGCGAATGTATGGACGCCGGCTGGGGCCCCCCGTGCAATGCATGGATTTATTGGCTTGCGTGGATACATTTGTCTTGAACGCAGTATATGAAAGGAACGTGCGTTTGTTCTCTCTGCGGTGCCTGATCAACACGCCTGAGATGACATAACGTTGTCCCTGTGAATGAGCGCGCATGAGAATCCGAGTAACGTTATGTGGCATTGCTCACTGAGCCACGCGGGATAAAGTCACTCCGGTGGTCATTGATTGTTATTACATGTGATTTGTTAGCTGACTCCTGTTCACTTCCTGTCTGACATCACTTCCTGTCTCGCTGTTTGAGACACCCCTTCCTGTCTGACGTCACTTCCTGTTGGGCAGGTATAAACAATAAACATACCTGTGTTCAGGGCTCTTAGCATGGGATTAACGAGCAAGCAACATCTGTCTCCTGACTCTACATGACTCTATAGAAGGGAGATGTGACAAATCCAGGCTGTGTATTGCTAACGCTGGGGAAGGCACTGTGTGTATGTCTCTTTGTTTATCCTCCCATCCCCCATCCACACCTATCTGTTAAACTAATCAGCCCATTGTTAGACTCTGTGCCATGATGTTTGTCCGGTTAACTCGAAGTGTGTATTGGGACAACTCAGCCTCCTACAAAGTGGCTGATACCGGTTCTTTCTAGACCGGGAGGGGGTGGGGCTTCTTTCTATAAAACTCCAATGCTTGGTGTTAATAAAGGTTTTGTGTCATTCTGCTTACCTCAAAATGAGTTCTGCCTGATTCTTGAGGTAATGGTAACAGGGTTTGGAATACGTTCCATTTGGGAAGCCATATCACTGACGGAGGTGCTCAGTCGGGGTGCCAGGGAGTCCGTCACAGGAGATACTTCCAGTCCTTGCATAAAGGAGCGCAGTACAACGGGGGAAATTCTTTGTGTTTGGCGCAGCTTAACGCGACATGGATTTGTGCGTTGAACCAAGTGAATTTCCATAACAAACCTTACATTGAATGAAGATGTTTCTGTACTATAGCAATTCACAGTCCAGCAATCTAAGAAAATACAAGGAATTGGATAGCAACGAGGAGGGTCGGGGATGTGACTGGAGCACTTCACTGCTGGAATCACATCTAAGTGCTATGTGTAGGAGCCGCCATGCTGCAGTGTAAGATTTATATACTTTAGAGCCGCTCTCCGCACAGAACATGCGGCTTTCTAGTGATATTATGTACAGCCAGTGCGGTGTGCAATGTTAGTTTTATTTTTTTACGGTGATCTGTGTGCACAAAATATACTTTTATGGACCTTAGGATATATATATTGTGAGCTGCGGAATAGGTGGCGGGTGCAATTGCTCCCTGGGGTGAGCAATCTTGCAAGGTTTAGAGACCAGACCAGTGACTTGTCTTCAAACAGTGTTACATTTATTGGTGCAACACACAGGCTATAGACAGTGCTCAAAGAAAGTAAATACTTCAAAAACAAAATCCTAGCCGTGTCCCGGCACTAACTAAACATACGATAGTCCTGACTACCAACCTAGAAAAGTTTATAGTTTAAAAGCGCCAAGGACGATCCTTGTCCCTCCTGGGAAGAAATCGTAAGCACATATGCAAGGTGCAGCCTCAACAGTCAAGGGTACTGGAACATCTAAAAAATACAAAAGAAGAGGCGCCTATCCTGGTGCAATATCGTTTAATCCAAAAAGGCAGGTATAAAAATGAATTGACAGATACTCACTATGTTGAAGATAAAAACAAGCTGTAGGACAATATGACCGGAGCAATGAAAACATCCGGATGGCATGTCCTGTGTAAAGCACTGCTAAGTCGACGCGTTTCCGGGGCACGCCCCCTGACTTCCTGATGAAGGGGCGTGCCCCGGAAACGCGTCAACACCCAGGCTCCAGCAGATAGAGACTGTCTGCTCCCCAGGCTCCAGCAGATAGAGACTGTCTGCTCCCCAGGCTCCAGCAGATAGAGACTGTCTGCTCCCCAGGCTCCAGCAGATAGAGACTGTCTGCTCCCCAGGCTCCAGCAGATAGAGACTGTCTGCTCCCCAGGCTCCAGCAGATAGAGACTGTCTGCTCCCCAGGCTCCAGCAGATAGAGACTGTCTGCTCCCCAGGCTCCAGCAGATAGAGACTGTCTGCTCCCCAGGCTCCAGCAGATAGAGACTGTCTGCTCCCCAGGCTCCAGCAGATAGAGACTGTCTGCTCCCCAGGCTCCAGCAGATAGAGACTGTCTGCTCCCCAGGCTCCAGCAGATAGAGACTGTCTGCTCCCCAGGCTCCAGAGATCTGTCTGTTTGCCTCACCTGCACTAAATTGCCACTGAGGCAAAGCGTAAAACCCGGGGCTTGCTATAGGTTCCGGAAGGTAAGAGAGGAATCTGGGTGACACATCAACCCCGGACAGGACCTCTCCTTGCTCTCTACATGATGACCTGCTACAATATATATATTAGGGATGCACCGATACCAAGTACAGTATTCGGCACAAGTACAAGTACAGATACTTTTTAAGCTCCGAGACCAGACTAGAGAAGAATTCAGAAGTTAGGAGGCCGCTGTCATGTGTAAGGAGCACACGGAGCTCCGGGATTTGTACATCTCTGTTATAATGTATCATTTTGTTTTTATAAATATATATATAAGAGATGCACAGATACCAGTATTGCGAGTACAAGTACTGATACATTTTTGTTTATTGTCATGTGACAGTTTTTCTAAAACAATACAGACTAATGATTTCAGGACAGTGGTGGAGCGCCAGAGCCCGGTCCCAGCTGCAACCACTGCAACCCCGGGAGTTCTCATGAAAATGCCAAGTATCTGCACTGGTACTCGAAAAGTATCGTGCATCCCTTATATATATGAGTATGTGTATATATATATATATTTATGTACACAATATACACGAGTGTATCTATATGTTTTCTTAAATTTCGGTTCTACAATCTGTAGTACATTCAGAATGTATTGTTCCTCTTTGATTTGTGTCAGTAATGAGTTTTGTGTGTTTTCTTCCCCAGACTTGGAGGGTAAAATGTTCCTCTTCCCCAAAGAAACAAACACAGCCCATGTCATTCTGAGACCCACAATCACAAATCCATTGCAGAAGGTCAGCGTCTGTCTACGTTCTTATACGGATCTTTCTCGCCACTATACTCCGTTCTCTCTTGCCACTCCCGGGAAGGACAATGCCTTTCTAATCTACTTACAGCCTCCAAACACTTGTTCTGTATTTATAAACCAGGAGGAGATTGTGTTTAAGACAGACTCGGAGTCTCTGGACTGGAGACACACCTGTGTGGCCTGGGACTCCAACACTGGAGAGGTCCAGCTTTGGGTCAATGGGAAGCTCTACCCCGGAGGAGTCGCCATGAAAGGCTCTTCTATCGCGGCTGAAACCAGCATTGTTCTGGGACAGGAACAAGATACTTTTGGTGGAACGTTTGATGCTTCTCAGTCATTGGTTGGAGAAATAAGTGACGTCCACATGTGGGATGATGTGCTGACACCAGAAGACATCCAGATGGTCATCTCTGGGGATCTCCATGGAAATGTCATCAACTGGAAATCTCTGTCCTATGAAATTAAAGGAGACGTTCTTGTCAAGCCGAAGGTTCTGCGTAAGTTCTCTTACCATCTACAGCTTGTTAATTATTGAGATGCTCCAATGTTCAGGACAGAGTTACACTGTAAATGATGTTTATTTGTCTTCTATATAAAAAATGAGAGGAGACAATGATAAATATAAGTGAAAAATCATACAACAAGAAATCAATGTTCTCAGAGTAACTAGAACACCTGGAAACTGAACAAGATTCCTAATGAGAAGAGATTGTAACAGGTAAAATATCAGCAGAACATCGGAAGATAAAAGTGAAGCCTTATTGGCCAACGTGTCGGCTGTCACAGCACATCTGTTATTGGATCTGAAAACAACATTATTATTCATAAAACATCTAATGATCATTCTGGAATATACGAGTGTATCTAATAGTGTTTATGTCAGACTGTACTATCTGTAACAAATTCAGAATGTATTGTTCCTCTTTGATAAGTGTTAGTAATGGGTTTTGTGTGTTTTCTTCCCAGACTTGGAGGGTAAAATGTTTGTCTTCCCCAAAGAAATAAGCTCAGCCCATGTCATTCTGAGACCCACAATCACAAATCCATTGCAGAAGGTCACCACGTGTCTAAATACCTACAGTGAACTTTCACGCCCCTATTCCCTCTTCTCGTACGCTACTCCAAGTTACATTGCTGCTTTTCTAATAGTCTTATGGACTCCGAACACCTATTCTGTATATATAAACCAGGAGGAAAGTGTTTTCACAACAGACTCAGAGCCCATGGACTGGAGACACACCTGTGTGACCTGGGACTCCAGCACTGGAGAGGTCCAACTTTGGGTCAATGGGAAGCTCTACCCCGGAGGAGCCGCCATGAAAGGATCTTCTATCGCGGCTGAAACCAGCATTGTTCTGGGACAGGCACAATATTCTTTTGGTGGAACGTTTGGTGCTTCTCAGTCATTGGTTGGAGAAATAAGTGACGTCCACATGTGGGATGATGTCCTGACACCAGAAGACATCCAGAAGGTCGTCTCTGGGGATCTCCATGGAAATGTCATCAACTGGAAGTCTCTAATCTGTGAAATTAAAGGGGAAGTTCTTGTCAAGCCGAAAGTTCTGCGTAAGTCTCTCCTCTTACCATCTACACCTTGTTAATTATTGAGATGCTCCAACATTCAGGACAGAGTCACACTGAAAATGATGATTTATGTGTCTTGTATATCAAACATGAGACGAGACAATTATAAGTGACAAATCATACAACAAGAAATCAATGTTCTCAACTAGAACACCTGAGAACTGAACAAGATTCCTAATGATAAGAGGTTGTAACATAATAGTTCTCTCGTGTGATTTCATACTCAAGGCAATACAATGTATCATAAACGCCAACACACAAGATACATAGAAGCAATAACTAGATGTGCATTACATGGTGGGCCTCAGAACCACATCTGAATGAACTAAACCCTACACATGTGACGCACATCGCCGGACTTTGAAGGTACCGGAGGCTGGTGGCACGGACCCCTGGGAGTGGTGACGTCTGAGTATGGGGGGCTGATGGTTATAGTGTATGTCCCTACCATGTCTAATCAGAACTGTGGTGGATAGAGGTCCATGAGGTTACCTGAAGTTGGGGTAATTGAAACAAGAGATAGAAATAGAGAATTCCTGGAGGATCTGAAGATAGAATACATGTACACTATGAAGTACTAAGGTCCATTTCTGCTGCAGGAGATGCACTTGC